CTTGACAGAACAGCACTCTCTGCCAACGCGGCCAATGATTCCCCCCGAAGCAGAGTGATGTGGAGCGCAAGCAGCACCTGTGACACCAACTGCCACCCCGGGGGAACATCAACAACTAGCCACCTGTTAAAAAATGCACTCCCCAACATCACACTGCTTATTAAATTCATTCAATTTCTGGTGATTGACGTCGCTTTGAGATTACGATGACTGCCTCTAAACGATCTAAATGTCACTCAAACAATTANNATCCTACGGCTGCTGCTCATTCAGATGCCTTTACTTCACCTAAAGAGAGAATAAATAGCCTTATTTTGGAAAGAAGAAATAACATTCTTCCTCTTATAAATGAAAAGCTAAATTCATTAGCAATAAACAATACATCTTATTGCCTCACTTGTTCTGCTATTAGCAGTTTATGGTGGCTAATGGTCGTAAACTTTAGATAGATGTTGCTGTGTAACTGACATTACAACCATATCATTGGGTGGGATATGTTAGGCAGCAAGTGAACATTTTGTACTCAAAGTTGATGTGTTAGAAGAAGGAAAAATGGCCAGTGTGAGGAATTGAGGGCCAAACTGTGATGGCTAGACGACTGGGTCAGAGCATCTCCAAAACTGCACAGTCTGCAGTGGTCAGTACATATCAAAAGTAATCCAAGGAAGGAAATGGAAGGAAAAAAGGGCAGTCCTGTTAGCTCATCACTTCATACATTACCCGGTGAATCAAATCATGACACTAGTAAAAACAGAGAGTCATAGTGTAACACAGTGGAGTGCTCAAAACAGCTAACAACGTTGACCCCACAGTTGGTTAACTTAAGGCCATTGGAACTGAAGTCTTATAACAAAACTGTGAAAAAAAAACTATTTAGAAAGTGGCACCACTGCGTGACGATGAATAAAACTTAATTTTTTGGTGTTTGCTAAGTACAGTTTTGACCAACGAAGCACACGAATCAAAACAAACACCAAGGCTATATCGATTTCCTATCAAAAATGAGTTATAATTTCAGTTTGAATCAGTTTATCATACAGGCTCTTGCAGCACACACAGAGAAGCAACTCAGAAATTCAAGATATGTCTGCACACACTTTCAAGGACGAGTTTAGGATAGGGTGAGCAGCTCCTTTGATCTTTATCAGAAAATGTATGCAATTTCCCATCTTGTGTGGTGCCAAACGTTGAAAAATTCAGCATGCGCTAGTGCTACAATATGTAAATAGAGGTTTACTTAATCTCAGAGCTAATGGCTGGCTGAGAGGTTGGGGAGGCTGTGGTTGTACACTTAATGGAAAACCTGCGCTGCTTTGTGCTGTAGTAATGGGAGGAGATTATCTTGCCATGCAGAAGGACTGGATAAATGCTCCCGTCAATTGGTCGCTCTCTCTCAGTCTATATGTTTATTATGTATCATGATCCATGTGAATGGCTTTAATCGTGCGAATGTGGAGACTGAGGGATGCATGGCAGCTGGATGGATTTTTGGTTTGGTTATGCATTTTATTTTACTTATACACTTTCTGTTGTTGAGGTAGGTTTGGGGGGGGGGTTGCAATGTAGTATTGCTAAATAATATATTTTGAATTAATCCATCTCCCTCAGTACTTCTTCGTTATCAGACTTCACTCATCTGGTTTTAATCTCACATCCTTTTCTTTCTTTGGATGCTGCTGACTATTATTTACTTTTGTCAGCTCATGGGCAATGCCACTGTGTTAAATATCCATCTGACAGGCTACCTAATGTTTACCCCTGAGGAAGATCAATACAGCAGTGCCATTGTCCAGACTTCATTCTTCAAGCACAATTGATCGCATTTCTTCCTCAGAACTGTCCTGAACATGGCAAACCAGAAAAATCCATGGGGTTTGGTGTCACGATGAATGGAAAACAGTGTCAATTAAAACTGTGTCTGTCAAATGTATTTTTTACTTCACTCACCACATTGTCTGTCTGTGGTTATGATGTTGTCATCTTTCAGGTCATATTGAATTTTGAGTCATTTGAGGACGAGGAGTCACGTTTCAACTTAATTTAAAAAATAAATTGCTGAAGGGTTTTGGTTAAAGAAGGGGTAGACTGTACCAGCTAGGAATTATTATTTGGACAAAACATTGCGTTTGCATTTGCTTTTATTGAAGTGGCTGTTCAGTTATATTTGCTAATGTTTTATATAAATGGTTTTTCAAGAAAACTAGAAATTGACAGTAATAACATACCCACAATACCTCCCAAAACACCTGGATTCCCAGAAAAAATACATAAAAAGTAACCTTGTTGTCCTCAATGATCAAACCTGTATCACGCCAAAGTGTGTGAATACACACAGTATTTATTCCATTGTAGGTTGTGCCTTGTCTAGGCTTATTGAGGTTGCACTTTGGTTAGGTTTAGGCACCAAAAAACGTATTGTTTAGGTTAAGGAAAATATACGTTACATTATGGATCTGGTGTGAGTTAAGTATGTTACATATTATATATATGTATGTATATAAGATAAAATAATGCTGACATTTTGTTTCACACAAGACTTGAACAGTCGTCTCTCTCTTTACACGCAGCTTTATTGTTTTTTTACATATGCTTAAGCGTGTGCTCTACATAGGGTGTATGAAGGTGCCTGTACTTTTCATATGTAGACAAGGCAAAACGTGACACTGACGTGGTATCCTCTAGTGGATCAGCGAGTCTATTACACGCTTTGGTGTGAGACTGTGCTGCAATTTTAGCTACAACCCCAATACCACTAAAGATAATTGAGAATTTGATTTAATATTTTCAGAAATCAAAAAATTCTGTGTAAATCACCATGACCTAAATGTGTTATAAGAGTGTCATAAGAGTACTGTGTGTCTCTTGGGTGTCGAGCCACATGGAGAGTATCTGAGAGTTTTGGTGGTCTGCAGGTCAGCTGTGAGAGCTCTGCAGCTGTCTGATAACTGCAGTGGTGGGTGGAGTAAGTGCTCACCTATGCACAGTTGCACACGTGTGCTTTTTCATTTTGCACCAAGAAGTGAGCTGCTCTGTAGGAACCACAAGACACGGACAGAGGTACTAGTACTTCAGCAGCACTTCCTGCATTCATTTCAAGCCATTTAAAGCAGCCCATGTCTAAAGCACCTATTTATAGATGGATAGCTGGGCATTCATTTATCTCATTTCAACTCATTTAGCCCTCATGTTCTTTTTGCAAATTAATGAATATACAATGTAACGGTCTGTTAGCGCAATATTGATGAGATGATGCTGATAGTAATGAGATGCCTAAAGTAAATCAAAGTGTTTACAAATGGACGAGCACATGCATCCACATGTATTTACCGCACGTCTTCCTCCTGCTGACCATTAATTTAATTGACCAGGGTTGTTGTTGTTCATCTGTTACTTTTCAACCGTGGAAAATGACATATTATCAATTAGCGCTGTGATGGTTTTCCAACCGAGTAATACGTCATTTAAATGTTATTAAATTCTCTGCTATGTGCTGCAATCAAAGGAATGCTGCTATACTTGGCAAAGGGGAAGTGTTTTGAGCTCACTATCCCAAAGAAGTTTTTACATTTTTCATGTCCATTACTAATCCTTTGAAGTTTTTTTTCCCTGCTTTCAAATCCTTTTCTCATACTTTTTCCTTTTCCTTTTTGAAATGTATCCTCCTTAACCATTGTGATTTTTTAAGCTTTATTTCCTCATTGTTTGGGATCCCAGAGATCCCATTTTTACTAGTGTTTAATAGTCAACGTTTTAATTTCTTTCTCTTCTGACCTTATTTAAAAAAGGGTATTTAAGTAGTCACCCCTCGCTTTGCTGCAAACATTTGAATACACCACCTCATACCAAATAAGATATTTGATGTTTTATATGGACTGTTCATAGGGCTATTAATTTATTCCTTTGTTAGCCTAAAAAGAAAGAAGAAATCGGCAGTATCTTATCCTTGTTAAACTGTTATTAACTGTTGTAAAACGTAAATCACAGAAATCTAAATGGACTTATTTGGGATTTGGGAGGGGCGTGCTGGGTAAAAGTACCGTCAACACCAATCGGATAATAGAGAATAATAGAACAGACTAGAATAGAATAATGTGAGAATTCATTGTATTTAACCATACAAATCCTCAAACAGAACATTAGGAATAAACACTCTATATTTGTCCTTTACATAAACTCACACAGCCATGCATCCGTTCTTTATTCTTTTCATTCATCCATTCATTCTTATTGTCCAGCAGGAATGTACTGCAGTGTCACCCTACACAGGTCCACTGTTATTGATGTATTGTTGTCTCTGGTTTGTTTTATTACTGTGGCAGGTTTCAGGCGATACTATGAGGGCTGCCACAGTTGGACGCGTACAGACAAAACACACGCACAGACTAACACACATATGCTTGGCTGATATTGGCCATAGTCATAGCCAACACAAAGTAATCTGGCAGTGTGACTGTATGGCTGGCAGATTATTTTGTTCGGCTCAGTCAACATATTGAATTTAATTTCCTTTTTCTGTCCTTCAGCTGGTGGATTTTTTTCTCTTCCCAGGGCAATATTTCCTTTTGTGTGCGTTCAGTATTTTGTTTTTTCACACCCATTTTCCTCTTTTCTCTCTATCTACTATAAACATATATATATATGCCTATGTATGTTTTGCTGGTGCTTCTTGATGTCTGTATAATGTCAGTTTGTCTCCTTATCTGTCTCTCTGTCTTGCTCTGCTCGTCTGTCTGTGACTTTCCCTTTTCGTTGCACCCCCTTATACACACATCACGCACCACCACCAACACCATGAAAACACACACACTCACGCCTCTTTTTCCCGGGTTTCCTTAAATCTCTCCAATGCTGAGAAAGTGAGTGACAGCACTATATGCACAGTCTGCAAACGACTGACGGGGGATTTTAACCAGATACGTCACAACTACAGGGGAAGGGAAAGAGGGAGGGACAGAAGAGAGGAGAGGAGGAGAGCAAATGAACAGAGACAGGCAGAGAAAGAGAGAGAGAGAGTACAGAGGGATATATTGACTCAAAACTGGTCTGCATGCTCTTCAGTGTGTGAGAAACAGAGGACGTGAGAGCAGGCAAGATGGAGTGCTGGCACAGATGAAGACTGTCCCTAGGTACGTATTTGTGGATGGCTATATTTGTACGTGTGTGTGCACATGTGCTTGCATGTGCGTGTCTCTGTATGTGAGAGGGGTGAGAGCGATTGAGTTTGTAAGCAACATGCTGCAAGTGATCATTCGTATGTGGGTACCCAAGCAGTGAATTTGGGTGTTGTTACATAACAGCAGTGTGAGTGACTGAATGAGTGTAGGTATTGAAGATGGGACCAGGCAGTTTGGGGTCCTTATCTGGTCTTAACACACATGTGTGTGTGTGTGTGTGTGAGAGAGAGAGGGAGTCTGTGCTGTAACTTAGTATAGTGAGGAAGGAGGGATCGGCTCTAGGAAATGCAAGTTTACAACGGAGGTAAATCGTGTTCTGTTTGGGTATGAATGGTGTGTTGGTTTGAATAACAAAAGCTTCATATATTTATGTCAGTGTGTGCGAAGCAGAGGGAATCAATATATTGTATGATGCACGAGAGGTGAGTTATGGCTATACTGATGTAAACATAGTTAAGCAAAATCTCCAGTATTTTCACCTACACTGAGGAAAACCCTCAGTACCTGTTTAGTTCTATTTCTGATTTTTGCATTGCAGAATCCTTACAGTATTGCAAAGACAAATCAAACCGGTTTAACAGCATTTGTCTGCTATGTAAGAGGGGTGGAAGTTGATTGCTGATTGATTCATTAGTAGATGGACAGTAAATAATCTGCATCAATTTTAATGAGTGATTAAGTCATTTAAGTGATTTTTGAAGCAAAATGCCAACAATGTCCTTCAGCTCTCTAAAGAGAGAAAGTTAGCCAGACAAAACAAGCATTTTCAAGACATCAGCTTGGGTTCTGGGAACTTGTACCAGGCATTCTAGACCATTTGCTGCGTTTTTAAATAAGAATTCGATTAACTGAAAAAAAGATGGATTAACCGATAATGAAAATATGAATCATTAGTCTTAGCCTAGTCGACACTTGACACAAGACAAGTAGCCTGCTCCAAAGAGGCTATTCATTCATATCACGGACGCATCAGTCATGAACTAAAAGAGCAAAATTATTTCATTAGGGGGAAAGAATAGACTTGGAAAATTATGACAACACACACAAAATGCACAGACCTAAAGGGAGAGAGGTCCCAAGTTGACACTAAACAGTAGTGACATGATGGACGTAATATATAGGGGGGAGGACAAATGACATGCATCCTCAAATGACCTGCCTGTGTAGCAGTGTTTGCAGTGATATTATTGTGTCTTACAATGAAGGTGCATGAAATAGAGCTATTATGTCTACTAGCTGTATGCTTTAGGTTGTTTAGTTCTTTTCGCTTTTAACAGTTTAAAGTTTTTAATCTGGGACAGCACCAGTAAACAAAGGAAACATTGTGACATTCTAGGCGGAAGTTTGTCCCAGTGATCTCTGAAATCAAACTAGTTCTTGAAATAATAACGACACAGAGGCACTGTGGGAGTGCATACTGGAAAACATGTCTTCGGTCTCTCTTAATCACAGTGAGGAAAATAGGAAATGATAGCATTTGGCTTAACGAGGTTGGAGTTCGGTAACAGTTATTACGCTTCATTTAGTAACAAATATGCTAAGGACTGAGAAAGGCTTCAAATAGCATTATGTAAATATTGCTCAGGGGACTTGCAGATGAGAGCAAGAGGAGTGAAAGGGAGAGATAAGGGAAGGATTAGAGTGAAGTGCAGATACACAAGTGACATCACTTGTTCATACTTTACGGCACTACATTAGAATATTATTTGAGAGCACAGACTTGGTGTGCTGACACAATGTGTGAGTCACACTTAAAGTGCCAAAGGTTCTGGCAAATTCTATTTTGGAGAAGTCAGGTTTGCATCAACTGATGAAAACAGACACATATTTCTGTTTTCTCCAGAATGTTTAAGATGCGCTGTGAATTTCAGCATATTGCCAAAGTTGACTTGCCTTGAATTAAATTGACCCCTGCTGCTGCTGCTGCTACAGTACTCACAGAGAGGGAGAAAGTTGGAAACTCAGAGGAGACGAAGGATGTGATTGTGTTTTTTTTGTTTTTCTCTTCTAGTTCTCAGCCTCTTGTTCCTCCCCTCTGCTATGATCCCAGCTGTTTTTCTCTTTGTCCTTCCTCATTCATTTCTTTCTCTCTCCGTCTCACCCCGTCATTGCCATCCCATAGTCCCGTTCGACAGTCCACATGAGCGTCTCCAAACCTCCCCCGCCCCCCTCCACCTCCCACCTGGCCATTCCCCCTTCCTCCACCTCCACCCCTTCCTCGTCTGCCTCCTCCCCCTCGGCGACACCCCACTCCAACGCTCTGCCCCCTCCCTCGCCGGTCAAGATCTCTATGCAGGAGCACTTTGCCATCAACGTGTGCCCAGGCCCCATCCTCCCCATCCCACAGATCTCAGACTTCTTCCCACGTTTCCACGACTACCCCTGCACGCCTCCGCCTCCAAGGGAGAAGAAGATCCTAAAAGAGGAGACTTTCAATGGGGAGACGGGCATAGGATACAAGGATGGGGAGAGGAGGGAGAGCAACGAGGGAGAGAGGGAGGAGGCGGTCGACTCTGATGATGAAGACAGTGAGTTCTGAGGAGGGGGAAGAAAGTTTTGTGATGAAAAAGTTGTGTTCATTGTTGTGTTTGGTTTGTGTGTGTATGTTTATTCGTGTGAAAACTGCTAGACAATACTGTTATTCTAAAAGTTTGGAGTAGACACTTTTTTTTAACACAAAATGAGTTTCTGCATTTTCTTCCAATGCACAACATATGCTTGCAGAGTAAATGTGGAGTCAAGCATTTTTCCAAAAGTGTTTGTCACTCCCACTTTATGTGACACGCCGCCTCAGATGATTTATTAGACAATGTCGCAATAGTGGGACTCAGCCTGCAAGTTTCTGCTCATTCCCAAACAGTAATCAAACAAGACAGATCAATTCATATTAGGCAGCGTCATGTTTTTAAGAGGCCATCTGCTACAAATATGACTCAGAGCTTTTGAGTGTGTGTGTGAGAGTGTGTGTGTGTGTGTGTGTGTGTCCCTTTACTGGCAGTAATTGCCATGGTTTGTGTTGTTTTCAGCCTACCTGGGAACGCTGGAGTTCAGCTTGCTCTTTGATCAGGAGAACAACTGTCTTCATTGTACTATTCAAAAGGCAAAGGTACACACAATTTCAATATCTTCTTCATATAAACAGACCTCTGTCTGTCTGTGTGCATATGATTGCATAATCCTCCTTGAAGTCCCAATGAAAACAATTCTCCTGTAATGCTTTGCACAAGATGTCAGACTATTTTTTCTCAACCTTTTTTAAAGTAACCAAGCCACACACCCTCAGCGGCTTGTCAATTTAAGACATAATCATGCCATGGCACTACGAATTTTGGATAATGTTGCTCCATTGCTGCGGCAGACACATTTGGTATGGCCACCGTACAAGGACGCAAGCCTTGTATTACATATTGTGTACTGTCACATGATGTTAATTATGTAAATCTTGTTGAACGGTTCCTTTGAGGACAACACAAAAGAGTCTAGGAGGGTAGAAAATAGTGGCATAAAAAGAAACACCCAGAGGTGCTATTGAGATGTAACTACAGTAGAAGAGGTCTGTCATATTCACTGTCTTTTTCTGACCCTGTCAGTTGTGTGAAATGTTTGAGGGCATGGTGACGTCACCTTTGACACTACAGTATGTGTGTGTGTGTGTCTATGTATGTCTGCCTGTGTCCACAGGGACTGAAAGCCATGGACTCCAATGGGCTGGCTGATCCATACGTCAAGCTTCATCTTCTCCCCGGGGCTAGCAAGGTCACTGCTCCAACCTTACCTCAGTGGCAATTAACGTAACATGCTACCACACTGGGCTGGGCTGTCCCAGACACTGACACTCCCTCAGGAAAGTCCTACATCACACAGAAACTGCTGGCAAAGGAAGATAATTTATTGAAAAGACTGAACATAGGAAGCATTTCATACATCATTCAACCAAAGAAAACAAAAAATGATTATTTATTTTTCGTAAATAATATAAATAATCTCCTGTCACACCATGAAAAGGTCAAAACGCACTTTCACAAAACGTGACACGGCAGCGAGCTAATTTAGTGTGTTGTTTCAAGCCGTTGAGCAGAGTGCATTTTGGTTGGTTACTACTTAATGTGGCTCGTCCAATGCTGTGCTTTATCGAGCACAAACACGTTCTGGTCTGTTGCACAACTCTTGTCTTGTTTTCAGCTCAAGCAGCAGGGAAGATAAGGCTCCCCACAACAGCAACCCCCAGTTCCGGCAGAATGCAACCTGTTGTCAGCCATTTTGGCTCAAGGTTGACACGAAATTAGGTTATGATAAGCGCAGGGAGGACGTAGAGCCAAGATAGGTTGAATGAGGCAGGTCTAAGGTGCTAACAATAACAACGTCTGGGGGATTTTTGTCCTCCAGCCTTCCTCTGTCTGTCTTCTCTCCCATTGTTAGCGCTCTCCTTTTCCCACTTTCCACCCCTATCTCTGTCTCTATCTCACTATCTTGCTGTGACCCTCTTTGACCTTGAAATACCAACAGTGTGCGGAGAGAAGGGAGACAAGGGAGAGAGAGGAAAGGGGGGAAAGAGAGAGAGGGAGAGAGGGAGTGGAGAAAGGGAGGGAGGGGGAGACAGATGAGGGGAGGACAGCAGCAGGTGGTTGTCATGGAAACAGGGAGGATTGTTACACGGCTCACGTCAACAGGCCAGTGTTGATGGGGGGAGAGGGGTGGTAGAGGTGGTGGTGCGGGAGAAAGCGTCAATGAGTAGGTAAGTAGCTACCCATGAACCACTGTTTGTTAAATACCGATCAGACGGGTGCCACGTCACTCAAAAAGTGAGTACGTGCACAAGAAGTGGAGATCACGGCCACACACTCACACACCTACTCTTGGCCACATTCAGACTCAGCATGCAAGCGTTGCAATGAATAATCCAGAACACAAAAGGTTTCAGTTTCTGTGAAGAATCGAGTTTTCAAAATATGAAGAGCGGAGGCACACAGTAAGGTCCCACTCATATACCTTCCTTCTCAGTCTCACATCCTACTGCACATGCTCCTTAACCAGTATACAGTCAGGCATGGTATCTTGTGATGTCAAGCGCACACTGTGTAACACATGCGGCGCATGACCTTGCGTATATGCAGACACATGCTAAGGCTTTCGTCACAGTCACACAGAGATGCTCCCATCATCAATCCCTCCCTCTCTGTCACTCCCTCTCTCATTCTCACACACAAACATGTGGTAGTTGCCAGTGCCTCTGTAATGGTCTTTGGTATTTTCACATGTCCATTCCTAATCGAGATGCATGGAAAAATTCACTCACAGTCAGACTCCTCATCCACAGCACTGGGAAGTAGGGATTGAGAGAGCGCAAGTGTGAAATATGTAAAAAGATCCATGCAGACAGATGGAGAAAAAGGAGTGAGAGTGTGATGGACAGATGGAGAGCTAGAGATAAAACATTTAGACACAGATGCAAAAGCACTGGTGTAGAGGGAAATGGATGCAGGGAGTGACAGAGGGCAGGAAGAGGGAGCTGGTGTTTTAAGTGTGTTTGTAGAAGTAGAATGCGGTGCAAAATGTGCTCAGAAAACCAACCCAATTCAGTCAATAAGGAGTGATGATTATTTGTGAAATAGTTGTGCTGTTGAGTTGTGCTGGCACACATACAGCTGTGAAACACTGCTGCGAGTCGTGACTCTGCCTGTGCACGGCTCCTCCTGCACATTAATGAATCAAACAAACGACATGAATCGAAAACACTTGTTCCCTTCATGGAGCGAGCTCTGGAGGGCTGACTCTTGTAGATAAGCCAAAAGTTTCCAGCAGAAAATGAAGAATGAAAAGGAGACATTGATGGGGGGAAAGTGAGGAAGAGGGGAGGCGGCACAGGCAGAACAATGGGATGTGGGGACAAAAACAGACCAAGAGAAAGAAGATGGAAGGGAGGGTTCAGCATCTGGCCCTGAGGCGTTAGCAAGAGGCTGACTGTGGCAGAAAGGAAAAGACAGAGAGAGAGATGAGGTGTGTATGTGAGAGGCGTCAGACATGAGCAGAAGTATTTTGTGAGAATAGGGTACACACTTTCTCTACCAGCTGTACATTCAGAGCCTATGTATATATAATCATGCAGTGGTGGAAAATCTTTAAATACAATGATATAAAAATATTGTATTACAAGTGAAGATTCTGCCTTTTACTTATGTAAATTAAAAGTATTCAATATACGGGGATAGGGAGTATGGCTCCAGACAATGTTATTGTATAACTGGATTCCTGTAACTGATACATTATAATGTAATGCGTTTCAGCGTAACTGGTAGATATTTCTTAGCACTTTAAACTGTTGGAGAAATTAATAGATAAGGTTGTCGATACTCCATATTTTTCTTATTGTCAACCGTTTCCATGACCCAAATCAACAATGTTTGAGTCCTTCTCTCAGTGCCAATCTGTGGCACTCAGCCCTGATCAAAATTGTTCCTACTGAAGATGTAAATCTTTAAAAAAATGGGTCACAAAGACATACTTCTCTTTTAAAAAAGATGAATATGAATTTCATTTTTTAATGAAAAGTTACAGAAGCAGTAAATAGCGCATTTATTGGGGACTGTTTTCAGTGGTGGATTAATACACGTTTTGTGGTTCAGTGTGTATTTATGGCACCAAGGCAGTCTATGTGGAATTGTCTCAAAATAAACTATAGTGCCTGTGTTCACAATAATGAAGGCACCTTTCACCCAACTATGTGGCTCAATGATGTGTTTTTAAAGGGGCACTCCACAGATTCAACACATGAAGGTCGGTTTAGTCATCATGAGTCTGTAAAAAAAGATGTATTATGTCTTCTATGATTCTGAAGGGACCTTGATGATGTCTATTTGGGCTTCAAGCTTCAAGCAAATTCTCAACAGAGAGTCTGCGTGGATGTGGGCATTTATTAGAGAGACACTATTGGATTGCATTATGGGAAAGGATTCAGTATTTTTTGTGCTTCACTCACAGTGAGGTCTAAATGTGAGTTAGCTTCTGCAGCTTTGATTTTGATTATTCTTTTTTAAATCTGTCTCTAGTGAGTCTCCCAACTTTCCATCTGAGCAGTCCTGTGTAGCCTATGTCATTTCCTAGTTTAAGGGCAGAACCAGGGATTTGGATACTGGAGAGTCGCAGATGTTCACATAAAATTCAAGAAAGGTTTCAATCACTCAACTCTGGGGAAAAAGACAACAAAATCTTCGCCAAGGAAGAAGGCGGGTAACCGACTACTCCATCAAGTTGCAAGTGTTGCTGCAGAAAGTAAGTCACATCTCTCTCTGACCTCATTTTTGATGAGCTTGCCGCCCAGGAGCTTCCCTCAGAGCTGGGCACCCTCATCACCCTCACCATCAACACTGACAGTCATCTGGAGGAGGGAGGGAGTCCTAGCTGCCAGGCCTGTCTTTGGCATCCCTGCACATAGCCTCTCCACACTGTCCTCTGCCTGCAGCAACAGGCAACCCAAACAACACCCCTGAGCCAATGCAGTTTGGCCAGGCCTCGCCCACTTCGGAGGACTGTACTGTGACCAGCCCAGCCATTTTGTCTCCTCCTGCCCAGTTCGCCAGTAATCCCATCCTATGCTTCATGTTCACCAGATTCTCCCTGACCAGACCCACGCAGTTTCAGTGATTGACGACTCCAGTGCTGCCGCCAGCTTTATGGACAGCATCAGGGGCGGAGCTAGAGGGGTGGCCAGGGTAGCATTGGCCACCTCTGGAACCTGATTGGACACCCTGGGTGCCACCCCAGTTGATTGACAGGTCACTGCACGTCACGTCGAAAACAGCGAGATTTTTAAACGCAAACAGAGAAGGCAGAATAAA